CTACTAATTTTGAGTTACTTCACTATAAAATAGCAGGTGAAAAATTACTGTGTTTTAGGCATTGATTTCTCTCACTGCTAAAATTTGCTTGTTAACCAAAACATACAGTATACAGAGTGTACAGTATATACTACACTTTGTAGTATAAGATATTCCACAATGTTTAAGCTTTGTGTAATTAAATATTTACTGTACCTGTTGTCTGCTGTTGTTCAGATGAACCTCTGAGCACATTAATTAAGAAGTGTCCTCAGTTGTCCCTAACTATTAGAGGATGGTGTATAAATTAATTATCTGTTTATTTGTCAGCTCTGTTCGTACAGCTTAATTTGTGTTTTTAAGTCTCTTAGGTTGTGATAGTACACTTGTAAGTATAGTGGTTCATACAGCACATACCTGTACATACAGTATTGCACAAACACTACCTCAGAAACCCAGGATTAGGAGAACTACAGTATGAAGCTGGACCTGTTCTAGAAATTTGAGTTAGGCTGTTGTATGATCTCGGTCATAAATCATGTCCTATGTGTGCTGTCTAACAGTTCAAGACACAATAAAAAAATCAGTTTTATACACTGAACGGCATTTAGACAATATTATTTGAATTTTGAATTTTTTATTTCTTTGTCCTGGAGTTATAAAATGTTATGGCATTTTTCAAATTGAAATGCATGTCTTGTTTCTCAGTACACACAATAGATTTAGACAAATTAATGCATTTAGTAATATATGATGATTAATGTGGCTTGCATGTCTCATTCAGAAAGATTGATCTATGATGAACAACCTTACCATTTATTTTTAATCTTCACAGAATAGATGACTGATCTGACTGAAATTGAGTGCTACACCTTCTCCTAATATTTCTTCTGCAGACATTTTTAATAATCATTTTATTTCAATTTAGCGTGGAGGGCAAAACAGACAGACAACACTATGAGTAAAATTAAAGTTTAGGTCAGTGAATGATAAAAAACCAGCAGAAGAGAAAATGATATTTTGGCCACGCTTTTTAAAATGCTGTTATTGTGTGAAAATAAAAAATAAAAATTCGGTTGACTTACCATAGCATGGTTAATCCAGGGAGGAAAAAAATTGTCGAGGTTATCAGGGTACACCAGTTGCCGATCATACATAAACATTCCCCAAAAAACCATGACCACAAACTGGAAAGGACATAAAATGCAAATGTTAATAATGGCCTGTATATGGTTCCTAAGTCATTTTTGCTGAGCTCCTGAGAGCTGGTCTTTCTTCATGTTTTCATGGTCTTTTAAAGCAGCATCAGCTGAAGAACTGGGTGAGGCAGTTGAATGTGTCCAGTTAAGCCACTAACCAGCTGATTAACTTCGATAAGAGCTGAGACTTCATGAAAGCCTGCAGACACACTTATCCTCCAGGACCAGGACTGACTCCCCTGCTCTAGACATACTGATACTCCAGGACCAGGACTGGACTCTCCTGCTCCAGACACACTGATCCTCCAGGACCAGGACTGGACTCTCCTGCGCTAGACACACTGATCCTTCAGGACTGGACTCTCCTGCTCCACACACACTGGCCCTATAGGACCAGAACTGGAATCACCTGCTTTAAACTCTTATTTAAAAAACACATATCTATTCAAATAGTTGTAGGTGACTGCAAAGCAAGTCTTTGAAAGCAACAAACACTGCAATGTCATTTTATACTTGTGCTTGGTCCCCCTGTTACAAAAGCCTAGGGAATTTATCATTTTTTACTGTATATACAGTAAAAAATGGGGATTCCAGTTCTGGTCCTATAGGGCCAGTGTGTGTGGAGCAGGAGAGTCCAGTCCTGAAGGATCAGTGCGTCTGTGCTTGTGGCTGGAAGGTTGCCGGTTCAAATCCCACGGCCGGCAGAGGAATCCTACTCCATTGGGCCCCTGAGCAAGGCCCTTAACCCCAGCTGCTCCAGGGGCGCTGTACAATGGCCGACCCTGTGCTCTCACCCCAAGCTTCTCTCCCTGTCTGTGTGTCTATGTCTCATGGAGAGCAAGTTGGGGTATGCAAAAAGATGAAATTCCTAATGCAAGAAATTGTATATGGCAAATAAAATGATCTTATACAAATCGCATTGCTAGCATCAACCAATTACAGGTACATGCATTATCAGTGAGTGCTGTGGCAGATTGCCCCAGCAAGGAAGGGTAGAAGCTATTGAGGTACAGAAGCAATTACAATGAGTCAGGCACTAGAGGTCGCAGGCTGAGTGTGCAAAGAGTGTTGCAGGGCTGTCTGGATCTCTAAAGGGAAATTAGCAGTCTCGTAGGTTAATTACATCTGAAGAAGAACAGGAGGCAGGACTCTCTATACGTTTTTTGAATCCATGCAGAGTGATGTACTGTAAGTGTGGGTTGAGTTTGTGTACTTTAGTGCAAGACAAAATAAACCAAATTTACAAGAGCAAATTACCTTTATAAGGTCAGGAGCAAGAAAGTCAGCCCTTTGCCTTGGCTGATCCTACAAGGGATCCTTTATTAAATAGAATAAGAGAACTTGCAACAAAGAGATAGACCCTGAGAAATTGAGCATATTTCAGTGCGATGCCACAATACTAAAGCCACAATATTAAAGCCACGGTACTAAGGCTCTGAGTCTTCCACAGTAGAGCCAGTATATCAACAAAGGTTGTACACTGTTCTCTCGCACACGTGTAAACGAGAGTAAACTTCAATCTGCAAATACAATTATTCTCTTTGTTTTTATAATTTTATGCAGTTACAAAAAAATATAAGGGTTAATGTTTACAGGGACAAATCAATCCTGCATCAGTAATAGAACATTCTCTGTTATACTGAAAAAATGATGTAGTGAGTGTAGCACAAAGCGATTTTTGTTGTGTTACTTCTGTACGAGGTTATTTCATTTATCAAGCCTTGTGTACAGAATCAACCTTCAATACACTTTGTTTTTTCAGATTTCCAAAACTAGCAGGGTTTTGTCACACTTTTACTTTCACTCTTGAGACAAAAACGTTTCTTCCTGAGCATTTTGTTTCCTTTTTATTACTTGCCAATACCCTTTTTCCTTCTTGAATATGTTGCCGGTGAACTGCGCAAGGCATTTGGAAAAAAAATGGATGTGTTGTGGAAGGAGTCCAGACATAAATATTTAGGTAGTTTTTTTTTTCATTTCCACAGAGCCAAGCATTTCCAAAACTATTAAGCCAACAGTCTGCAGGGAACTGTTGAAGTAAAATGCTTATGTGTTTGTCTTTGATGAATGCACCAAAACAGCTGAAGCACAGTGGAAACAGTGCACAGCTACTGTAATGTTTCTGCAATGCAGCTGCTGAGTGGACAACAATAAACAGAAAGGACATTTCTTTCCAGAATATCTTGGCGCCGTCTTGTACAGACACGTTTCAAAATCCTGTTATTATAATTTAAGCTGAAGATGTTCAGTTCATTTGAGGACAACTAAGATGGCTCATTTGTTCCAAACCACAAAATACATTTTATTTACCAAAATGACTGAGGTCTCTTCCACAAGTGTAAAACACAAAATCAGTTGGACAGCAGTGAAAAAAAGGTAAATAGCATCCCAAGCAACTCTCAGATACCAATAGTTGGATAAAGCTTTCAGTCTGGTGGAAGATATAGTAATATAAGACAAACAGATCTTCAAGGTATAATGGTCGTCAACCAATTTTTAACAAGATATGTTATTCAGAGACCATTAAAAAAGCTCTTCCAGCAATCAATCAAAACAGAGCAATTAACTTGAATGCAGTTAATATAGCACCTCTTCATAAAAAAGAGAGACAAAAGACTAACGTCTTGGTTTTATTATTGTACATGTGAGATATTCCAGGAACATGGAAAATGCTATACTGTATTCACTTCTGAAAGGAAAAAATCAAAGGAACAACATTGGATTTATGGAGTTGGATTTACCATCAAGAATGATATAATCAACAACCTTCTTAATTTTCCAGCTGCAATGAATACATTCCTTTGTTTGTCACTACTCTAGATTCAGAAGGCAAAACCAAGGAAACTATCTACTGTATGAAATTCTTCCAGAATATTTTTGGATTCTAGAAGGACTACAGATTTAGTCTTGGAGACTTCAATTTTAAAGTTGGAAAATAGCTCTGGAATGGAACCATTAGCGAGGAAGAAGTTAGAAATGTACATTTCCATGACATTTTTCTTTAATTACTCAGACCAAAAAATCTGTTCAGAACATTCTGGCAACGTCTACAGTTCCAGCACTTGCAGATGATTAATTTCATTGTCTATAAATGATAATGAAGGATAATGAAGATGCCAACATCATCAGAGTAATGAAAGAAGATACTGACAACTGCTGGAATGATTGCTTTCTTATACTGTATGCTTCATTATGACAACTGGCTCACAAGCATTACCTGCAGATGAAGCAATATCCACAGAACCACCAAAGCCAAGGAATTTTGAATCCAACCAAAAGAGCATTCTTCAAAGTCAAAATCACCTGTAGAGCTAGTCTATATGATTACACCTCTCCAGGATGTGCTTCAACAGAAAGCACAGCTGTAGACCCCTACTCCATGGTCATGGTTAAAGTATGCTTACCACTAAAAAGGGGATTATTGTTTTACTGGTGTGTGCATAGGGTGACATCAGGGGCCTCTCAAAAAAACCAACAAATTCAAAGGTAGTTGTTACAGCAATGCTGATGAAATTCATTGCTCTCATGTTGTCACAGTTTAGTCCTACTAAGCACTGTGTTGCAATGTGACAAATATCACTATGATATTAGATGTTATCTCTCCCCCCTTTAGATCTTAGTGATTTGTCTTCACACTGTCTACTTGAAGGACCATCAGCAAGCCTAAAAGCTTTTACTTCTGATCATTCTCACCTACTGTAGTTTATGTTTTTGTTTCCGTTTCAGTTGTTAAATATACAAAATTCTTTAAAAAGAGTAAGAGGAAAGTCAGTATACTTACTGAGCCCACAGGGAATGCCAGCACAGAGAATAGGAGGTCTTTCCAGAGGTGAAGTTTTTTTGCTTCGCCTTTCATATATGGAAGCTGAAAATCACTCAGGGCTGCCAAGCCAAAGAACACCATCTGTAAAACCTGAAATGCAATCATTTTTCATAATTGGTCCTAGCCTCTTGCTTGGCAGTAGGACAAACACCACACTAAATTCAGATAACTGGCTTAAAAAAAAGCATTGTGACTGAGCTATGGAAGACCATGGCTCAATCAAGAATTGAAAAGGAAAGGGCAAGTAACTCCATGAGCTGTGAACATCTACAGAAGTTACAGAAGTGATGTCAACCCCCCCCCCCGCCTTCCCAAAATCCAGACAGTATGAAACGCTGCCAAAGAAGACAACAGAATGTTTCGGCATCATGGAACCTCAAGTGACCCAGAATCGAATCCTGGCAGCAGCAGGGAGAGCTACAAGCATCACACGGCCCTGGAACACTGCAATCAACCCACCCCTATCTGTATAACAAAATATACAGGCACTGAATTTGACATATGCTCCTTATGTTTTTCCTCCTCATTTGTCATTTTTATTTTGCATTACAAACTTTTTTAACTGTATTATTCAAGATTTGCAGATCTTAATTGCTCATGCGTAGAGAAATGAATAAAGAAACTTGCTAGGTGGCAGACACAGGAGGTAGCATGTTCATGAACACACTTGTCTGTAATGGACTCTTTCAGTTTTGATCTGCCTAAGTCTGGCAGGTTCCGATATGCTAACTTTATTACCTAACATTGTGCAGACAGACAAGAAATATTCTTTATTCATGCTTGACTGCATAACACAATGAGTATGTGTAGATCATAAAGGATCATAAAATGCTTTGAATATATCCAGGGGGCAACAGTAGCTATGAATCACTGTGACCATTTACATGTTATGAAAATTTCAAAAACAAATCAACCAAATTACGAGTCAATATGAACATTGTAACATAGTACAGATTTCTAAAAAATCGAATAATGCAATAATATAACTGAATAAATTATGATGATACGTTTATTTGGAAACATACTTCACTGCCATACTCCACTACATCATTTTTAGAACTCAGGCTCGTTGTAGCTTCAAGCTTACAAATAATTACAAGAGTGCATTCATTGAATTTGAGAAAGCAGATTTGTTGGTTGTCTGGTGGAACAGGAATCTGAATATATGCGATTCTATTAATAAAAATTGAGTTACTTACAATGAAGGGCTGATTAATTAAATAGGAGTTATGGTCTTCTTACTTACGAACTATTAATATTCCACATGATCCTAAATTCTTAAGAATTAACCCATTTTTATGCTAAGATATATAGCATTTGTCTTACCATCCTCCTGGTCACCATTCAATCCATGAGCCTGGAGGCTTCCATAGGCATTTATCTAAATATTTATCCTTGTTACTGGGATACAGTCAGCTCTTGCAATGGCAAATGGGTAGAAATTCCAAAACAGTTTGAACACATGCTCTTGAACAAAAAATTATGGAAACAATATTCCTTTTCATCAGATCTGAACTACTATTTAACAGAGCTGTTATTACAATCTTAATGGTTACTGTAACTTTAATTAGCTATTAAACATGATTAGGGATGTAGAGTAGTGGGCTAATATTTTATAGAATGAAATTTCAATGCTGTGTTTTCTTCCATCTTCAACAGAAAACTTTGTATTTCCATTTTGAGGTATGCACATATGCACACTCTTTCTGAAGAACACATGATTTCTGGTATTGCTGCCGTCCTGCTTACATAATGCTTATATAATATGATGTACTGTATATACAGTATACTCAGTTATTCTGGAAATTCACATGTATTAGATAATAAATAAGAAAGAAGACATGTTAAAGGTATTCATAAGACAATCACATTCTAATCTTATTATGTTGTAGTCTAATTGTTCATGCTGCAACTTTTGTTTATGCCACAAATTTTATTATCATGGTAGCTATACCAATACAAGGGAGAACTGACTTGCGGAATGCACAAAATGATTTCTGACACAAATAGAACAGTCTTATTTCTGACTTCAAATAAAGCAGCCAGTCAGTCATGAAGACCAAACATGAGAATGTCAATGTGAGTCCTTTTGCACAGGGTTTGAGAAGCTGAATGTTGTTATGGCAACAGCCTCAGTTATGTAACTCAATATGCAACTGCATGAACAAGCAGCTTGGGCCCTGCCAAACTGTACTTTGATCTGGAACACAGTTTGAGATTTTTTACTTTGTGTCTGTTTATTTAGAAATGGATTACTCTCTCTTTTTTTAGTTGGTTTAACCACGGTGCTGCTGACCATGTTACAGATACCGTATAGGGGTAAGATTTTCACCATGAAACTTGATTTAAAAAATGAAGCGGGAATGGTTTCCCTCATTCATTTCCTGCTTTTTAGTGTAGTCTATTGGCCTTTTCACCCTTTGATACCACTCTATTATAATTGCCAATTGTTATTCATACAATCTGACTACTGCATCCAGCACTGATCTAGATCAAAGACACTCAGGGGTGTCTTTTCAGACATTGGCTGTCAGGCATTCCTGTCTGCTGATTTTATTGCAAATCCAGAATAGAAATAGCAGTCATGATCCATAATGCTGCGCCTCTCAAATAATTTATTATATAAATATATATTATATACATATCAATTTTCTCCTACACGCTTATTTATTTTTACAAATTGGCTTTCACTTAGCAAAATATTTTGTGCCACAGATCAAATATTAATGATTTATACATAGACCTATGTGTCTATCTCAAGAAATGAAATTGAAATAACATTGTTGCTGCTTAGAAGGTATAATCATAATCATGAATGCAATTGTGACATCCTACCTCACTAGTTCACCATGGGGTTAATACACTTTTCCTCTTTGGCCACTAGCTCTCTAGTGACATCATTAGTCATTCACATCTGTTAATTTTAAAATGGATATTTACTTGGAGTTATAAGTATGGGGATTCACCCAATGGGAAAGGGAAATATTGCTTTTATTGCATGGGAAGGGGGGTCCCTTCAGTTCTTTTTAAATGGATGTGTGAACCATCCCAGTTCACGATGCACATCCTTTAAAGAAAAACAAAGTCTTAGTATTTGTTATTGGTATACTATAAAATAGAGAAGGACAGCTCCCAAGTCCTGCAGGTTTTGCATGTAGTTCTCAATTAGCAAAACTAATTAAGAAATCAACGAGCACAATTTGGTTATTTATGATTGTATGGGGATTGGAGTTGTTCACTCCTGTTATTTGTTGCCTGAAATGTAACAGCATCCAAATATTACTGAGTAGTGTTTGGTTTATTTCCAAGTAAATTAGATTATGTTTACTAAAATTCTTTTGTTTTGCAACCAATTTGTTTAACCCTCCTCATGTTTACTGTTTTACTCTCTTAACAGTCTGTTGTATACATCATATAATCATTAGGTAGTCTTCGACAAAAGCCGCTAAAGAGCTAGGCTTGCTGACAGCAAAATTATATCAACAGCTGTCAATAAATGTCTTAAATAATTTCAGTTATAATATTAGTAATTTCAGTTTTTTAGGAGCATGTCTTTTATTTTATAGAAAAATAAACCAATACAAGAATATGACAGAATATTTTTTTCTGTACGCTTTCACAGTAAGTGTTCAAGACGGACTTTTGCCTAATATAAATAGTAAGGCAAGTTGTTTCCTATTTTTCATAATTATTCAAGAAATCACAAAAAATGACAGAAAATCAACTTCAAATGACAGTTCCTGTGTTTAACTTTTGGTAATTCTTTAGTCAGCATCAAGCAAAAAACACAAACAAAAACTATTAAATTAACCTTTTTAAGGGAAAACTAAAGAAATGACACAGCACTACACTAATCTGATTTAAATTATAAATGTGCATATTTAAACTCTCTCGAGAATGTTATTCTGTACATTATAAAATTAATAGAATAAAAGGAAAATGCTTACCAAATTTAGGAAAGTCAGATATTTCCATGGTCCACCATATACAAAAAGTCCTTGGGGCAGTTCTTTAGGGTCCTTAGAGAGAAGTATTGAAGTTAAGAATGTATACCACATAAAGGTACTAATGTGATACGTTTTGCTTATTACTGTCCTCATAGTTGCCCCGGTGGTAACTGCTTCTCAGTACTCTTCAGTCAGTTCACTAGCTTCTCTAAATCTACCTAATTTCTGAAGTGTCTCAAATGTTAACATATATCTAAAGTTTAAATAGTAAAAATGGCATGGGGATTCTAATTACAAAACCTGTAGGCAGAGTGTTTTCCTCGTAGTGCAGCTCCAAAGAAAGGCTTCTATTGAATGATTTAAAAAGATCAGGCAAGCTAATTATGGAATTAGCTAAGGAGGTTAGGTAAATACTTCTATATACAATGAAGTCACTGTTTCTTCTTATGTAAATGCCATAATACCATAAATGCCAATGTTATAACAGCAAAGGATTTTGGGAAAGGAGATGAATGCCATTTTCATTCCTATGATATACAGTAATTATTGCGTAAAGCTCCTTTATTCCACAGAAACACAACACTGAACTTTCAGATTAATTCTACAAAAGCATGATGTAGTGATGGTACACAATTCTGACAAAATTAAACTGCATCAGGTTTTGAAAGGTGCCAAACATTGCCTCTTTGGCAAGAAATAATGTAGCAGTTAAATTGTTATGGTGTAACAGAAGTAATCTCATTTATATATGTTATTTCCAAGAAATGCTGCAAATAGATCTCAGCTTCAGCTTAGTTTAAAATCCTGCATCTGGCACAAGGTAATGTAACTGTCTTTTAATTTAAGAGCTGATTATACAGTATTTTAAAAAATGGTAACTTAAAGGTTCGCTAAACTTAATTATAAAAGAACTCAGCTGTTATAAAACAAATCCAGAAGACAGAGGGGCACTCAGGACAGTAATTACTGTTCTAGCATCTTGGTACATTAATTCAATAATGGGATTTAATAATAAAGATATATTCTGCAAGCCTAAAGGCATTATAAACCTGGGCTACAAGCTTTTATCATGTGTAAGCAATAAAACTGAAGTAATATAGAAAATAATACAGCTATCTTATAACATCACAGCACACTGTAAGTAAAACATATCTGGTACTACTGTACAGGTATGTGGTTATACAGTATAAAGTGAATGAATATCCGGAATGCTGAAATGAATTCCCTTGGAAAATTTGATACACAAGCCTCTTTACAAAACGAATTGTGTTGTGTTAGATGTAACCAATATTCTCTCTTTGCTTTCAAACATCAGGGATAATAGATATTTGGAAATACAGTACAAAGCTGGGGGCATAGCACACAACTATAATAAGGAATAAGCTGGTCAAATGAGCTCAGGGTCTAAGCATGTGGTCGACTAAAGAGGTCTAAACAGAAGACATTTTTGTTTGCCTATTTATTATGCTTAATCAGTGGTTTAATTTTAGATAATAATACACACAGCAGAATAAGCAATTATTATTATTATTATTATTATTATTATTATTATTATTATTTCTTACATTCACATACCTCTTTTCTGGACACTCCACATGATTTACAGGTAATGGGGGCTCCCCTCCTCCACCACCTGTGTACAGTATAGAACCTACCTGGATGATGCCAAAATGCACTAGTATGCTCACCACACATCAGTTAACACTGGGCAGGAAAACAGAGTGATGAAGCTAATTCATCCATTGGGATTATTAGGAGGCCATGATTGGTAAAGGCCACAGGGAAATTTGTCCAATACCTTGGGGTTAACAGCCCTAAACATTTCAGGGAAACAACCTGGGATTTTTGATCACCATGGAGAGTAGGGACCTTGAATTTATGTCTCATCTAAATGAAGGAACCTTTTTTACAGTATAGTGTCCCTATCACTATACTGGGACATTTGACCACAGTGTAAGGCTCCCTATTTGTCCCACTAACACTTCTTACAGCAACAACTTTCCCAGGAGGTCTCCCACCCAGGTACTAGCCAGGCCTACATCTGCTTAGCTTCAGTTGGTCGCTAGTTGTGAGTTGCAGGGTGATATACAGTACCTGCTGGCATGAAAATCCATTTTAAAAGGAACTTGAGAAACTGTGCTTTACAGAATATCTGAAGGAAAGTGGGAATACCACTGGTGATGTGTTTTATTTGGACTGGCCTAAAATGTATATTTGTATTTAAATATATCTGAATAATTATTTTCTGATATATTTAAACAAGGCATCACACTGGCGACATAACATAGACATGAAGCAATATGATTAAGTACAATAAATCATTTTGTTTTATAGAAAAGTATGCAGTACATACAGTAGTGCAATGGTTTCTGTTCCTTTAGAGAGATCTGTACTTTTTCTCTGGTAGCAACTCATAAAGACAGGTCCATTAGTATTTCTTCCTGCATCCTCATCACTTGTCTCTAACATGCTATTCGTTGCAGGCATGATTCTGGAAAATATCAAGTACTTTGAAAATTATAGGTCATTGTCCAGATACTATAAGGATTTTTGAGCTGTTATACAGTATATCAGATACTGATAACTAAAGCCATTTCTCCAGGAATAAAATTTTCAATTGATAAAAAGGCGCTAAAGCACTAAAACACTGAGGAAACATGATGCAGTGACTGAAGTGCATGTTCCTGACCAAGTCCCATCTTTCCCACAGTACTGTGGTTTCCTGCAGTCCATTCTTTAGATTAAATAGAAATCTGTATTGGGATTGAAAGTGGCTGAAGCAGCATACAGTACAACAGTTAGTTCAACACCTTGTTTCTGTAACATACAGTACTTTGCATTAAGAAATCTGCTACTTTCTGGATATTTATTCATTGTTTGTGGGTTTATAGGTTTAAAAGGGGAGTGCCTTGACATTTTGCAGTCACCAATAAAATAGCATTGAATAAAAGCAAAGAATTGTTTAAAATAAGGTAAGGCTTTTCACATTAGCTGAAATATTTGTGGAGAATATTTAGCTTTTTTGATCCAAAAACCATTATTTTTTATTTAAAAAAAGTTGGGCATAAAAGTAACGTATTACTTAATATAAAGATTTACAAAACATCAGACATGTTTCTGTTGAAAGTTTATTTTTATTCAAAATACATAAGTCTTTTTGTTCAATAACTGTACATGTTTAAATGAAAAGCTGTTTGAAAGATTTGTAACAATCTAGAAAACATGTGTCTTAATTCTGCAGCTACAGATGAGTATGACGTATGAAGAGTTTGTTATGTGGGATCTGTATGGAACTACTTCAATCTACTGCTATGTGGAACAACCTATCCATATTCTTACTTTCTTTGATTTAGCTCATTAAAAAAAAACAACCAGATTACTTAACTTTCTGGTGCGGAAGAATATTAAATAATGGACACAATTTCTTAGTACATTAGAACTTAGTAAAATTTACAATCATCGATCGAAGTCTATGCCACTTCAAATTGAAGGGTATACCACACTGTGCAAGCTTAGTAATTGTGTCAGGTAATGATTTTAGCCTGGATTATTATGTATGGACATAATTATACAGTATGTTTACTGTGTCATTATTATCATACATAAACTTCGTCTAAGAACTCAAATCACAGATGCCGCTGCTCTCTCACTTCCGCTATTATATAAATAGCCGCTCTGCTAAGGAGTGTTGTGAGCTACTGCACGAAAACACTCTGAGCTATTTATGCCTTCGCTATTATTTACCAGCAGCGTGCTAAAGCACTAATTAAAATGAGCAGTGTGTCAACACTTTTACAGTTTGAATGGAAAACTTTTTCATTGATTTTTAAAGACATCACATGTACACGTTAACTAATAAGTGCAATGATCTACTGTAAGTGGAGTATTGTATGCTGACTTCCATTTTATAATAAACCTAATTCTTCGTAATCTGACCTCAGGTCATTCATTAACTTTTGGTGTCTTCCTATGTTTTCTAATTTTATCGGTAATGTACATTTCTAATATGCAATTCAACTCCTGCTTTTTCATTTTAGTTAGAAAGCTCCCTAGGCTTCATTATGCATTAGGCGTCTTTATTCTTTCTATAGGACGTCTAATAATTTAACGCAGAACGTAAACAAAACGTTACATAGAGCTGTCACGCGCCGTACCTCTCGTAAAATACTTATAATACGCAATAATTAACAACGCAAACCAAAAGGAATTAAGGAGTAATCTTTTTTCTTATTACTAGGTTAATTGGGTAGATTCAATTTGGTAAATATGGATTCAATTGCAAGGAACGCTAGCAGGTGAGTCTCCAGTGCCAGGACTGGAATCCGCCCGTTTATAAAATAAAATATTTTAACAGAGATGTCAATCAAAATAACGCTGAATCTCTCAGTGACACAGTGGCTACTGGGATGCTTGTAGCATGACGTGCTGACTGTGAGGGCTACGCCTCCCGCGTCCCGTCCCGCAGGTGTCACCTGTGGGGGTGTTGAAAGGGGAGTGGCTGGATGGTGGGCGTGTCAGCTTTTCCGCATTCTCTCACGTGTGTAGTCATGGGTGCTGTGAGTTTAGACGTGAGAAGCGCGTAATATGCCGTTCCAAATTGGGCTTGTGTGATTCTGGTGATTTTGTTTTTTAAAAATGCCCCCGCTGTAAAAATTTAAGCCACTCTGGCAAAAAGCATAAGGTATATATAGATTTGTAATAACGATGGCAAACCTGCATACATGTGAAGGAGTCAGCCCTTTTCACGTTTTAGCCTCGGATGGAATATCAAACCTTAACTCAACAAACAGAAACTTCTACCAAGTAATGCCAGCATTTGAGTAGTCTGGTATTTAGAATCAGGTACATTAGATGTTGGGGCACAATCTCAATTTGGACTTCAAGCTCAACAATTCCCTTCTTAGCTCCTAAGCCCAAAGCTGTATTACAGACCATGCTGCAAAAATCTCAAAGCATACAGACACTAAGTTCCGGACACAGAATTAATACAAGTAGCCTCGTTTGTATTCATTAAATGGTTTCTGTTTAAGACTGCGGATTTCTAATTAGATGCCTAGTTCAGCTGAGCCTTTTCAATTTCATATTGCAAATAATCCCCTGAGAATGCCCTTTCTTTCCTTATCTCCAGTAACTCGCTCATTCGTGAAAGAATTATATTAAAGAACTACCATATATCAAATTAAACCAAGTCAGTGTTACAGTGTTAAGGCTGCTCTTAGGATGGAGAATTGTCCCTAATCACTGAATCTCTCCCCCATTTTCCACTTGTACCACAGTTAACAGAATCTTAATGTCCACACATTGGCTCATTGATATTAGTTATGCTTTTGTCTTGATGTCTATTTGCTTTTGTGGTTTAATTCTAAAAATGTAGAATTCTTTGGTCAGTTCTGTAATGTCTCAGATTCCAATGCAACTAATGATCCACATCTGGCTGTTCACATTATGTTATTAGAGATGACAAGCAAGTACCCTTCCTAGTAAACACAGATATCTATTTCTCTTCAATCACATCATTGAACAACATCCTTATTAACTCACATGTTAATACATTCTGACCCATTTAATGTAATTCCATAAGCCACAGGTCATCAGACTTACTCCTGCAGATCTTCAGCCCAGCAGGGTTTGTGGGATACCCTTAAAATCCTTAGACTTCAGAAAAACAAGCAAAAAAGCCTTGAAATATTTTGTCTCTTATATCTGTTACTATTTAGCCTACGCAGTCTACCATCAAAAAAAGTAAAGTAATTATTCAGGAGTGAATGTTCAAACTTGTTCAAATATCTAAGTAGTTAAGTTACTAATGTCTGTGTTGACCTACGATATGTTATCATTTTTGTAACAAATATATTCAACAAATGTGTAATATGTGCACATTTGAGAGGTTTATTTAGAGTTTGATTGATTTTTTATTATTGCCATTTTTACTTATGTATACGAAATGAATGATACAGTAAGGGCACAGAAACTGACAGCTGAGTTTACCCGAATAGAATGTAAGATAATTTATCCTTTATTTATGGCAGAGCTACCCTACCTACAGATACATCTGTTTAATGCCAAAACCCTAACCAGCTTATAGCATAGAAGTCACTCAGTTACTGTACAGTATATACAAAAAACTAAAAAGATACATCAGATTTTAAAAAGGGACCTACAGTTATCTATCATGCCAAAGGCGTCCTGATATTTAGTATTATATTGTAATGTTATGCAAAGAAAATTATTTACAATTAATTTGATTTGTCCTAAAAAAAAACTTCTTCAACAGCATTGTTCAACACACATTAGAGAAATGGGTCTGTGCTTGTGGTGCACATAGGGTCTTAGATATAAAGTATAAAGTGTGCAGGGCCTATTAAATCTCTAAAACACAACATGAAAAACTGGATATTACTGTATATACTGAAATCTCTTATGCACTACCTCGATAAAGGACTTACAATATATACATACTGAAATCGCATTCCACACTATGAAAACATAAATGATATATTGAAATCATACCCTTAATATTATATAAGCAATGGATTTTTAAAAATGTACTTTTTTCTTTAAGTCATCAGCAAAAACAATATGATTTTGAATCATGTTCAGAATGACCATGAACAGAATTTAAAAATCACCTATTGAATTACAGGTGGGAGAAACTACACAATACAGCAACATCGTGTAACAGAACAAAAAGATATTTATGGGATGGCCGGGTGTAGGCAGGATGGAGTTGCCTTGAGTGAGTAAGGGTGTCTTTGAATAGCAGATAACAGTGACCCCGGAGACTCATCAGGGCTCCTGTGAAGTCTACTGCACTGCCAGTCTTCCGCTGGGTACGTGTTTGCCTTGAGGGCTGTTAACCTCACAGTGCAGTGGGGGTCTTGAAAGTGGACCTTTAGCAGGAAACATACAGCCACCCTCCTCATCCCTGCTTTGCTGGAATGGGAAGTGAACCAAGCTGTCTGACAGTTAGATTCCCGGATGAGGCAAAACTAAATTTCAACTCTTGGGACAGCTGGATGACTCAAACTTTGGACCAAATTGATACAACTATCAAAAAGACACCGTCTTCTCTCTAATTGCATTGAAGTAAGTATACCCCAATATTCCTGCTACTACTATCACGATAGAAATGTAGTGGAAAATTGTCCCTTCTAGGATTACAGAAGCCCTTCCTGGCAGGAACAATCCTGACAGATTCTAAGATAAAAGTCTTAATTCCATGCTTCAGTCTGCAGCTGCTGAATGAGAACGGCCTTTCTTGGTAAGGTACTCTTTAGTAGAGTACTTGGTACTCTACTAAAAACACTTTGAAGACATTTCCATAGTTCCTCTTGCGCCTATGCCTTTTGCTAATATAGTATATATTTGTATAATTCTGGCCTGGTAGTTCCTAAAATTGTATTTAAAAGTTATTTAAAACAAGCCTGTTTCAAACATTCTCAACACAACAACACTCAGAACTAGAAATAAGTATGTTTATTGATTTTATTGAGCTCATTTTTTTCTTTCTTTTCCACTTAGGCACGGTGATATATTGTGTCTAGCACATAAATACACAGCACTAATCAATTTGTAATAAATATATTGATATAATTTAATACATAAATATTTAGTTTTCTGTCTCTTATGTATGATGTGGTTATAGTTTAGCTGCTATAATACTATTTTATTAATGTCATGGTCTTATTAGTGAATTTGCTATGAAGAATGATAAAACCCAAAGACAGAGTGAAAATATTACAGCTATCATTAACAGGATCCTTCCATCTTGCTGGAATGTATCTTATAACAGATTCTCTATCTGACTAACACTTTTTTCTAGTGAAACTTATATTGGCACCAATGTCCTCAGTTATGTATTTTACCAGAACTATATCTTTATCTATATCGTATATATCGCTCAGCTTTAGATATTAGATTTGAATTGACAACGTAGCAGTTACAAGGCTAGAACCCTAACCACTGTTCGACTCTGTTGCCTATTTCCTTCTTCATTGTTTGTTTCTAACTGAAATGGTTTCACAATTCTGTTTTGAACATGAATATGCAAACCCATCAGGTGTTCTGTTTTTTATGTCTTAATAAATAAGCAACACAAGTGCCATCGTAACCACAGCTGAACATGCCTAAGGTGCCCGTGTGAGAGCAGTCACTCCGTGAGCAGTGGGGTGCTGTCAGTCTGCAGTGACACAAACATTTAGGAGCCTGTTAACATTTCCTCTGGAGTGACAGCATCTCTGCAGCACTGTGAAGAACTTGAAGGGTGATTCTGGTCAAGCTCAATACAGAAGATCACTGCGAGAATGCAGAGACAGTATAAGAAAAACACCAATATCACATTAATGATTTGCATTCCTACAGTAGTGTGCTGCATATACAGTAATGTTCCTACATTACGTCCTGTTCATTGTCAGCTAACAAGCGCATTGTTAAGTAACAGAAGGATTCCATGCAAATAAAACTATTTAAAATGGAACTCTAATTCTCACAAATGTCACCACTTGTATTTTGATCTGCTAAAAGTTCTTTAAACTGACAGAGCTAATAAAATGATAATTTTACAGAAAGCTTTGTACAGACCATACTGTATGTGAACAAAACACACCAAACGCACAGAAAGAGTATTATATTTTCAACCATTGTTTTCACGATAAAAACATTTTTGGACAATAACCCAAATATGAAGACAACTTCTGCACTGTTTTCTCCCATCGCCCGAAGACAGACTGATTACTGTAGGTTAATTGGTATCTCTGCGTTATTTCCGCGCACTTGTATGAGTGACTATTCACAAATTTAATTCAGATAAACGGCCCCACCCGCATTGAGATCTGTGAAGTTGCTCCCCTACAAACATCACTAACGATGACTCCCACCGCATGTAAGAATGTTAGGAGCAGCATCGCGGAGCTCTGACTTTGGGGTCTGGTTCTGGAAATCATATTTCTATTTTGCAACACGTATGATGTTTGCAAAGACAAAGTAATTGGTGACCGCAGATCTGTAACAACCTGTATTTTCAACAAATTTCTCCAAAAAACGTGCACATTCGCACGAAATGGAGTTCATTGTCATCATCAAGTCATAATATTAATGTTTATTATCTATAGCAAAATTAAGTTAGTAAAAAACTTTATATCATAATTGCATTTGATGGATTCGTTTTCATTAGATGAACGTAGCGTGCAAAGTGCATTTTTAATATTTACAGTATTACAGTGTTGATCATTTCAATGTTTAATAAAAATGTGCAGCATTATTCACAAGCGTAATATTTTAAAAATGTATCAGTCATTTAAACTTGGAAAATCCAAGACTGCATGAATCTCGTGAGAATTTGTAGAACAGTAAATACTGTGATTTATATAATTCTCGCAATGCTTTGTAACTCCGTATTTCATGTAAGACGAGAATCTTACTACCTTCCTCATTCATGAAAAAAACAGCCGATGTCGTAAAACCAATAAGAGCTTTGCAACCTGACGCTGTAAAATATCCAAGACAAAGCGTGATATCTGACAAACGGTCAAAATTAACAAAAAAAAAACAATCTTTGACCTTTGGTTTGGAGCGCACATTAATCTGCTGAATTCATTCTGGTGATCGGTGATGTGTTGTGCAACAGAAGGAAAATGGTTTCTATTTCAGAGGATATTTTTAATGAAAGCGAAGTGGAGCGTAACAACGTTGCACAGCAAAGGGTTGGATTAAGGGAGATCTGAATGGGAAAGCCCAGTCTGCAGTGAGGGACACAACGTGACCTGACAACAAGGAACCTCCGGGATAACCGTCAGTGCAAAACTATGTGCAAAAGGGATGCATCGAGGGGGGACGGCGGTACACGACACGCTAGGAAATTCAATAATTTGCGTTCTGAGAAGGCAAACAAAAAAAAATCCCTTGAGTCAAGATGTAACATGGCTTTCAAAAAGAAGGGAAGATGAGTTTAGCCAAAGAAGCGCGTCTAAACGCTGTTTCAATAAAGTTGTGGTGCGGCCGTCGCGGGCCCCCTCCTTTAGACTTTCTGCAGTTGAGAGGCGGTTACGGGACCCCCGATGACGTCAGTGGGCCTGCCTGTTTCCTGCAATAGAAAGTGAGAGAGGAGGTAAAGGGGAAAGCGGACCTTTCTCAATTTTACCGTAAAGGTTCGCCGTAAAACAAAACAAAGCCCCGAGATTCATAAAGCTCACGCTCGTAAGTATGAATCCTTAAGGTTTGTAAGCGTTGCCATTTTCGTTTAAAGAAACGCCGTGTTGCGATTCGGATGCGGGGGTGCAGTTTTGGATGCCCGTGCTGTTACAGCGACGCTGTACACAAGGTTCAAGTCGGGCGCAGACGCGCGTCGGGTTTTTTTTTCTGCTCTGCGAGAAATAACTATCGTGTTTTTGTAACCGTGGGCTAATAGGCATGGCACGATCCGAGACCTGAGCATGCTCTGCTCAGGGATGCCGTAGGTGGACAGGGGCCACGGCGGTAGTGTGCAGCCTAGCGCAGCGCACAGTCCGACAAGGTGCGTTGTTTTGGTGCCGAGACTCCCTGCAGCATTTCCTCCAGCGCACGGAGGGGGGGGGACTTCTGTCTTTAGCCTGTCACGCTGGGTAAACGGGGTGGGCTCAGGCAGAGTTTGGGTTTTTCATTCCGGATGGGGTGCGGGGCAGCCTTGTTGCTGCGAATTGGCGAGCCGTGTCGCGTTTGACGAACTGGGAAGCGCCTGTTCGTAGTCCCTGATACGGAGGGGTTTTCCCCGGCTCCTCCCCTTAACCGCTTTCCGTGCGCGCCTGGTGACATGCACGGAGGACGTCTGCGCTGTGCCCGGCTCTGCGCAGCTCTCCGGGCATGTGGTGGAGAGAGGCGGGGAGGGCAGACGCGTGTGCCCCGGTCATTCAGACACCACGCCAAAACAAGTCTAATTCAACATTAAAAAAAAGAACATTGGGCGACTGCTATGCCTCCATTGTCGCGCACTACCACCCCCCTCTCCGACTGCTGCAGGGGCAGGTGCGTCCTGCACAGCTGCCCCTGTGCCAAAACGGGCTCTGCCCGCCCCCATCGTAGCTCTAGGATTTGGGGGGGGAGGAATGTGGAAATTGCACACAGCGCCGACAAACCGACAAAGGAAGCGCCTCTCTTTCATGTCTTTTCAAAAATACAAATACATTTTTGTGTGTGTGTTTTATATCGGTATGTTAAACAGCTGAAAGGAAAATGCCTCATCACTCCAGTCATGTCCATTGCCATAATGGGCTTCCCTTGTTATTGTTATTTTAGCAGCGGTAGTAGTAGCATCTGCTGTATTAATTCAGTGGGATTATTTTCTAACTGTAGGAGATGCTTTTGCACAAAAAAAACTGAATCAGTGTGAATCAGAATTATTAACGGTTTGCGCAAGTTTAATAACCTCTCTTCCCATGCTTTGTTGCTTCAACATTTCTCATTTGGCGTGTGTATTTCGAAAATCATTTAATGTGTTTCTTGCCCTTTATAATTATGAATAAGATATCCGATCACTCCATTTTTCGCTTTGGTGGTTCTGTCAGCGTTCACTCAACATTCAGCTATTTCAATTCGGTTATCAATATTTGCTTTAAAATGAAAGCATTGCAATAAATCATTGCTTTAAAAATGAAAGCATTTCCCAAATGGCCATTTGTTTTATCTTCCGGTACAATTTTAGTTTACACGGGTAATTTTAGATGGGATGTAATTTTCCATTAAAAACAGTTGCATCTGCTTGTGTTGTTTAGACTTCAACGTTTTCTGTAAAACCCCTGGCCTTCCAGCAGCGCTGTTTCCCTAGTGAAATGATGTCATTGCTGCGGCTTACAAATATTAAAGCAAACAAAAAAAAATCTTCTCTCCTGTCTGCCATGTAAAATAAAATTATTTTCAGCTCGCGTTTTATGCATTGGTTTGTTCATGACTATTTTTAGTTTTCAGTTTTATTCGGCTCATTGTCATTCGAGGTTAATGTTCAGGGCTCATTCGAAAACTATTAGAGAGGTTGCAAGGAAGCTGGCACAGTTCAGTACTATTGTCTGATGTTTGTACATACGCTATAAATTGTATCTAAGGAGGGAATAAGAACGGCCCACAATTAAAAGGTTGGAGTTCAGATCCATTGTGTTGCAAAACTGAGTGTATTTTTAGGAGTGTACATTAGGCACAGTAGAAGGTCTGCAGCTTGTAGTAAATCCATCAGATTCCTTTAACTGCGGCATTAGTTTTGCAAAAGCTGCATGGGTTAGATTTACAGTATGTCACACACAGGGCGTGGTACTGTATTTGCAATTACTGTATAATGTACTGTAACCTGTACACCCACCCAGCCCCATCTGATAAGAACTTTCCCTCATTCTCCCTGCATTCTATGTAGCCTTGATGCAGTTACCCATCGTTGTTCTTTTAATATTTTATATGAGAGGGCCTGCTTGTATTACCTTTCCTGCCAAGAGATATTCAGAGTACTACAGAACCTGTTTTTTTTTTTCCGCTGAGTTGCTGAAGTGGGAACACAGGTCAAGACTGAGAGCTTATCTTTCAGACAGTTATAGTAAATGCCCTGTGTAAGTCCCTGCCTAAGTAACACTTATATAAACACTGGAGTTTCTTGGTTCATTAACGTTTACGAGTCTAGACAAGGTCACTGTAGTTAGCGGCGTTTACTCCAATGCAAATTAAGTCTGCATTGAACACTTCTTGTTTAAAGCTGCTGTAAGAAGTGTGTTCTTTCAGTTCTTTAGTTATTTTAGGAAGAGCAAACAGGTTTAGTCGACAGGCTTTAATTTAATTCACAGTAGGATCTTCTGTTTGACTGCAGCATTCAATAGATAATGGATTCAGTGGATCTTGGTCTCTGCTGCATGTGGCTGTGGATGAAAATTTGCACACATATATGCAAACAGTATGGGGACAGAATCATTATTTTCACATGGTGAAGTCACAGGCCCAACTCTGATTCACATGAAGCATTAGCTCTAGGCCCCATAAAATAAAACTGGTGCAGAAATGTTAATGTTCATGTTTTAAGTGGGAAGAAATAAGAAGACTAAGCTGTGTCTAGGGATTTCATTATTAGGGTTATTTTCTGTATGAAGAGAATAATGTCCTTATATTACTGGGTTCGCAAAATGAACCAGCTTTTCACTGTGCAAGCCATTAAATCCATACATTAGGGATCTAAATGTCTTCATTTTTGAGTCACCTCAACTATAAAATGGACTGTTTAACAATTTATTTGTTTCTGATCAATGCTGTATGCTTTTGTGCATTTGTACACTTTGGAAAGCACATGTGGCATGTTCTGGTGAAAAAGACCACTACAGGATGAGGGTGTTTCATCGATGAGGTGCTTATCGGATTGCTTCTTCTCTTCCCACCAGACAAGCCGACATTGACCCGACAGTGACCCGGGACGGCGGGGGAGGTGGGAGCTAGGGGGCTTCACTCTTCCTCAGCCGAAAATTCGCAAGCAAGGCAATGACGCACCCATATCTGCGCCTGTGACCAGAGGAATCATGCCTCGAACAAAACAGAATCATCCAAAAAACCTGAAGGGTAAGTGGGTGTCGTACACCTCCTGTACTTATTAAAGGGTCCATTGAATGTTTTCCAGCTGAAAACATCCAGCGTGCGAGATCTGTCACTCTTTCAGCAACAATGTTTGAAAAGTGGTCAAACTCTGACTGTGTTCAATTTACACATATTCAGATTATTCAGATAATTAAACATTGCAAAGACTGAGCCTACAACAGTTCTGGGTTTCTGGATTAACAATGATTGCAGTGCTATAACTGGACATTATATAGATATTTTTTGGATTTGTTTTAACGTTGTTTATTTCACGTTTCTCGCATCATTGCTTTGAAATATTTAACATGTATATGCAAAATGATAACTGACAGCACAAATCTCCTTTTTGTTTTGAGAAGTTGCAACATAGATTGAAACATTTTAAAAAAATATTTAAGAACTCATTTACATGCAGGAATTTGACGGCCTTTATGTGTGGTCTTGCTTCCCTTTTTTAGTAAGAAAGGAGTGTCATTCGTGGTCTTATGGTTCTCAAATGAGTTGTTTCAGGAATAACAGTGAATTATGTTGCAGTTTAGCAAAACATGTACATTTAGAAGGTCAAATTAAGGTCTGCAGTTCTGGAAAATACTCATGTTTTGTTACTGTATTGGGAAAGACAGTTGTACTATTTCTTTATTCAACTAATAACAATGAGCTGACAAATGCTAGTTCATGATAGTAAAGTACAGTTTTACCAATAATTGGTGTTACTGCCTCCTTATAAAAGACACTGAGTTAATTGTAATATTAACAGTGAAATTTACATAGTGTAGAGTAAAAAAATATATAATTCATTGTAATACACTTGGTATAACTTCATTAAACTACACTAAAAAGAGCTGATTAATATAATTAAAGAGTTGCAGCTGAAGGGGTGCAACAGTGCATGTTTTCAATAATGACTTTGCAAAGGAGAGTGGAAAAGCTACAGATGGTCCCTGTGGTGTTCCAGCCCAGGTCAGCTGAGAGCCTGCGGAGTGTGTTTTGGTTGTGAAGTTTAGTTGTCTGTTTGGAATGTTCCATGACGCACTTGCGGACAGGAGGAAGTTGGGAGTCTCCTCTGTTGCAGCACTGGAGGTTCTATTTACATTCTGACTAACTTGCCTTGTTATTGTCCCACTGCAGTTTCATTCCTTAACTTACCTTAAAGTGTCCAAAGCATGGAGCGTGACTCAAATTGAGCTTGCGCGGATAAGAATGAGGATTTTATTTGTTTTTGGTAACGCTCTTTTGTTCCAAAATCCAAAGCATTAATGCCTACTGATGCAGTGAAGTTCAATGACATAGAACATGAACAGAAAATGTGCAGTTTGAAAGCCTATGAAACGTGATTTTTTTTTCTGAAGTGTATTTTTTAAACGTACTTTCTTCCTTGTTTAAAAATGCCCAATTCTCAAAACATGTAATTATACACACATATTTAGAAATATTTTACAACCTCAGTATAAAATACTGAAATATACTTGTGCCAAGGATCAAACATGTTTAGTGAAATTAAATCATTTGCTTATTTCAAATACTCTCTTACTTATGCTGGTGTTTGGTTATGCTATTAGAATTTGAGAATATAATGTGTGTTTTTCTGAAATTTACAGTATTTTTAATACAGCCTAATGTCTTTACCCAGAAGCTTTCAAATTGCATACTTTGTTGCTATATATAGAAACAAAAAACAAAATTTCAAGCAATACATGATTAAGTAATTCATGCATGTTAGTGTTTTGCAGTCCATTGTAAGTATCATAGTTGAAATTTATTTAGATCCTATTACTTGTACCAGGTGCATGGTAAAGGTTCAATAAAACTGGATACTTAATTTTAAAATACAGTATATATTGAGCAAAGTAGATGATGTATTAAAGCTATACTTTAATATAAGCACATACTGTATACAGTAATGTAAATGTTAAAATATCTAAAATGTTCATTATTTATCTATACTGTAAGTGCTTAGCTTATTTTTCCCAGTTAAAATGTTGATACTTTCAGTATCTTTTATATTAAGGAGTAATACGTTTTTTACATTTGTATAGTGTCTTTTATTCTTATGGATCCTTAAGCAGTGGGGTAGAGGAGTAATTTCTTCACCAGCTAAATTAATTAGAAACACGAGGAAGATGAACCTGTAGAAGACCAGAATGGATTTAACTAAGACTGGATCATTTTATTCCTGACACCCATGACCCATAGTGTAAAAAAGTGCATGCAATTGTTAGAATGGCTTGTAAATTAATAAATATTTTTTTCAGTTTTATAAAATCTTAGAAAAAAACAGAACTAACAATAGTCATACAGGCTTTTCTTTACCAAGGAGGCTTTCCTCGGCATATAAGACAGACACACATCTGGAGTCAAACAGTGGGCGCTGAGTACATTTCACCCATAAAACTCAGAACCCATGTCAGCAGCTAAACTCGAAACACAGCAAATGAAACAGTTTATTTTGGGACAGGTTACAACACAAGCAATGAATGAGCTTTTGAAAAAAAACAACACACATAACACAACAGACTTGCTTTGAGAGGTAAAGAAAGTCCTATTCTAATATGATCATCACAGGCATTATTAGATAACTAATCAATAAATCATTTTAGGGGAAAACACTATTAATGAAAGCAATGAAAATGTAAAATCTTTTAGGATTTTTTACATTAGATGTGTCCTGCAGATCAAGTAGCAAGGAAGTATAGGGCACATACCTGTGCAGTATATAAACACACCGGAGCTGCACGAGTGCACAGGGCTTTGCTGTGTTTCCCCATCCTGCTTCTGACAAAGATTTCTAGTTTTGTTTTCTGTTGAGCTTAAGAGCTTCAGCCTTTGTCTTGTATCATGATATAAACTGTGAAATGACGATTTTGTAGAATATACTTATTGGCCAACAAAAGAGCTGTAAGCCCCCCTCTCCTGACAGCACCCTTAACTATTTCAGTCAAGTTGATGTGTACCTACAGTACATTAATGTCAGAAATGAAAATTGTCCCCAGATTTCACCAAAGTGCTTTTCTGACACAGCAACATTTAATGTATACAGTATCTTTTAACATTGATACAATTATCATGTCAAATACTGACATAGTAGTCATGTGAAAATTGCATTAAATATTAAACTTTTCCCATTGACAGGCCTATGCGGTTATTGCCAGCACTTGAGTATGTAAAAGCCATTTACCATAATCATTTTGTAATGAATTACCTTCAGTGTATGCAAATGAGGGAAAGAGGCATTCTGACAATATTGCCTTCTGTAATGGTAATGCAATGATCATGTCAGTAAACCAGTTTAATGAATCAGAAAAAAATTAAACAATGTAACAGTAGCAGCCTTTACTGCTGTTGTAACACAATAGATTTCACAAGTAGCCCTCAGTGTACCCACAGCAAGTCAGTGCATGTGAGTACTTAATTCCAAATTTAATTGCTTTGAGACCAGCTTGATGTAATTTAAGTCAAGAGGAAATAAACAAAGATACCAGGGAACTTTTACCTGGGACAATATAATGGCTTATCACCTTCTTGATTGTAACCCAAAGTGTGCTCTCCTGAACGTGGAATCAAAATCTTAACAGAAAAGCTCAAAAGATTAATGACTAATTGGGAATGTTTGCATATTCAGGTTGAGTGAGCTTTTGATGTACTACTCAATCGAGAAATGACCTTTAAAGTGTAATAAAGGTTGTAATTTTAATGCACAGGCTTTGCAAAAGGCTGGCATGAAGCAGTTGATTAGGGAGACATAATTCTGATGACGATTGCTGGAAGTTCATTTCGGTCGATACCATTGCTCCCTTATGCGAACAAGGTATAAAACGGTTCACAGATGATGGGAGGCCATTCGTACTGTCGTAGTTATTTTAAGATTTTTAAGCCAAATTTCGCATTCAGCTGTTTCTCAATGGATGCCTATGAATCGTGGTTCAACCATGATGTAGACATGTGCAACTGCCAGATCTCCTGAGCTGAGCTTTAGTGAGCAGGCTCAGGACCCTGCTACAGAAGGTCATCATCTGGACTCAGGATTCCAGGAAGCCAAAACCCAGGAACTAATCCGTATGTCCAACTGAAAAAAACCCAAGCATTTCTGAAAAGTGTCTCTGTACCTAGTTTAAAACAAAACAATGTTTTATTATAATTTAATGTTTCTGTATTGCTGAACATAAATATAGCCTACTCTTTTTTGACAAATAATTGCAAAATACCTTACCTGTGTAAAAGAAATATATTTGCCAGTTTGCATGTTTGTATTTGTTTGTATGACAAAGTTTGTTCTTGACTTTTATTAACATTTTTCTTGTTTTTAAACTATGCACTATAAGGAGGTTTAGTAAATAAAAATAAACTATATGCATTATAAGGAGTTTTTTTAACTATCATATAAGCTTATAATCTAATACTTCAGCATTAAAACCATATTGATTTTAGAAGAAATATATTTCAATGAAAATAATTTAATCCTACAGTATTTGTATGTACCTTTAAACCATGAGAATGTCTTGAGTTTAATTTAGTTTTGTTCAGTTTTGTGTTTCAGTCTCTTATTATGGAATATGTTCATGAAGTTTGACAATTAGGTATTTGTAGACAGATATGAGTGTATTTATTTGCAAAATTGTTCACGATGCATTTTATAGTTGTATTATTCCTTTTGCTGTAGCAATTGGAAGAAAAAATGTCCTGGACACTTTAAATTAAGTGAATTGTGTACAGTATGTATAGAAATTACAAAAAACATGAGAGGAACAATATAGCATCATTTCCTGTATGACAGTGATTCAAAAGTAGCATGCCAGTGATTTGTTTTGTATTAATTTGTTTGCACTTCACATTAAATGTGTCCCAAGCACATAGTCAGTGAATCTATTGATTTGGTTGTTGATAAGAAAGAAAAAATCATAAGGATGAACCCTGAATGTACTTGTAACAGTGAGTAATCCTGCTTTATTTTCTATAAACAAAAAAATACTACTTATAACTTTAATCAA